TGTGCTTCATTATTTTATATCTTGCCTATAGGCTTTTGTTGTTGTTGATTTAATCTTTTGTTCTTCTCCTACCCAATTCATATTTGTTATTATTTTGGTAGAGAAGCAACACCAATCTTTTATTGATTTGTAAAAGGTGTGGATAGCCTTTAAATCCTCATTGTAAGGTTGAAGATAGCCTTAAAATCTTCGGTTGTAAACGGTTGAGATAGCCGTAGTAAAATCTCGTTTGCTTATTGGCAAGGGTTGTTTGCCAAACCTCGTTTGATTCTTCTTAGTGAAGCCAAACAAGTTAGTGGAGGTTAAATCCTTGTGGAGGAGCCTCGAGGTACTGGAGTAGGGAGTTCTCGAACCAGTATAAAATCGCTTGTGTCGTATTTTTATATTTTATACTTTTCTTGCTCTTTCTCCGCTACTACTTTGCGCATAAGTTTTTGTTTTTATTAAAAATTTTGCAAACACCCTAATTCACCCCCTCTTAGGGTGTAAACCGACTTTCATGTTTCACTCTTACAAGGGTATATTTGAAAATTCTAGAGGAAAACAAGAGGAGTAAAATTCAATAAATTGTTCAACTCCTATCACGTCAGATCTGAGAATTTTAGAAAAAAGGAGGAGTTGAACTCAATAATTCATCTAGGGTTCAAATCTTGAATGAAGGACACAAAAGAGTATGAGATGATAGGAGAGAGATAGACGCGGAGATAGGAGTTGATGCGGATCAGCCAATAAACACATTGAGGTGGATGGAAATATTATTGCGTAGGAAGAAGAGTAAATAGAGGTGGATGGAAATATTTAATGGAGGGTAAAATGGACAATTGAAAGCTTTAATCATACTAAAAATAGAAAATGGACAAATACAGTGGGACGATACAAAAAGAAAAAATGGACGAATACAGTGGGACAGAGGGAGTAATTTTCTATTCTAGGACAACAGAGGAAGGTTGCTAACGGTAGTGCATTCCACTATTGATGTAAAAGCATCGTGCACTTGTAAGTACTTTAAGTGGACTGGAACTTCTTAATTTGTAAATTTTGCATTTGATTCGATAATATCTGGGCAAGATTTGTAGGTGGTATTCAGTGATGCATCATGAGAGCTTAAGAGTGCATTATGTTCAATATCTAGGATACCAACATGTTAATGGTGTGGGTTGCATCATTGTTTGTAAATGGTCTTGGTAGAATTTGGTTTGGCTTTCCCTACATATATGCATATGTGGTTGATAGTGACGGCCTCATTTTCTTAATAATAGTGGGACATCATATGTGTGTTGTTGGATAGTGATGTACCGTGAGTTATTAGTAGTACACTGTATTCTTATCCTTTTATAAAGGTTGGTGGTATAAGTCACGACCTTAAATCATTGTTAAGTGATAGTAGATGGATATGTTTTATTTTTGGAAGTTTGCTATTACTATATTGGGTTATACAATTTTAGTAAAGAGTAATGTATTGGTGATGGATTATACTTTTGGTTCACATATTCAGTGTAGGTGGGGGAGTTATAAGAGCTCCAGAACAAAAAAATAACATCAAAGGGAATGGGGCAAATACCATCAATATGCAGCGGAGAGATTTAGTTTGGTCCTCTTCTCTTTTACTTATCTTTTTCCAAAATAAACTACGATGTTGAGGTAGTACTGAAAGCAAAATCAACGGAGCATTTCATTTTCACAATTATTTTTAGGTTCTGGATAAGATTAGTTTACATCATCATTTTAATTGCTCTGAATCTATTTGTTTCCAAGTTTCAATGTTTTATTGAGAGCTATACTAGTAAATGATGTTTTTTTTGGTAGTATTTGCTTTTGAATGTTATTCTTTATACACTATATTCCATTCATACTCATAACTCATCATAACTTGTAATCTAAAAGCCAACTACAAATAGTGCTTCAAATAATGAATGGTGATGGTGTAAATTACTTGACCGGTCAAACTATACTAGACCGGGTCTAAAATAGTTGACTTGATTCAGTAAAGTAAAGAAAGTAAAAACACTCAGAATGACCGGTAGGACTTTAGGTGGAATACCTGTAGCCCGAATTATATTAAAACAGGGAATGCACGGGTGCTTTTACAAGGGGGTTTAGAGTGAATGAATTCGGATCCCTACTTCTGAGAGTTTACAGCAATATATATACTAGGTTTGGGGGGACAGGACCACGTGCACCCACGTGGGGGCATGCTGCTGGCGTGATGTGAGGTGACTGGCTTCGTCCTCGAGCTGCCCTGTCACCTTGTGAGATGGATTATTCCCTTTGTCAAGTAGTGCCTTGGATGGATTCTTCAAGCATCTCCAGCAATCCTCGACTGACATGGGTCACTACAGTCCAAACCCTTTTAGATTCTCTTCTGCCGACGCTTTCTAACCTCAGAAACTACACCGGGTAATTTCTGAGGGATGAGTTCATCGAAATTAGGGAATGAACAGAGCGACAAAGTAGTTTGACCGGTATACTTTTTCCCGAAGTACACCGGTCAAATTCAGACCGATCAAATACCCACTTGCTGACGATTAANTGCCCTGTCACCTTGTGAGATGGATTATTCCCTTTGTCAAGTAGTGCCTTGGATGGATTCTTCAAGCATCTCCAGCAATCCTCGACTGACATGGGTCACTACAGTCCAAACCCTTTTAGATTCTCTTCTGCCGACGCTTTCTAACCTCAGAAACTACACCGGGTAATTTCTGAGGGATGAGTTCATCGAAATTAGGGAATGAACAGAGCGACAAAGTAGTTTGACCGGTATACTTTTTCCCGAAGTACACCGGTCAAATTCAGACCGATCAAATACCCACTTGCTGACGATTAAAGTCTCCCTTTCCAGAATTTTCAAGATTGACCGGTCAACTATTTGGTCTTCTCCTTTGACCGGTCATGGGTGGAATACACCCATCAACAAGGATGAATGGAGCCATGTAGTAGTTTGACCGGTATACTTTTCTGAAGTATACCGGTCATCTTTTGACTAATTTGAGTGCCCTCTGCTGATGATTAAAGTCCCTCTCCTTAACTTTCAAGATTGACCGGTCAACTATTTAGTCTCTTCCTTTGACCGGTCATGGGTGGAATACACCCATCAATAAGCCCTCCACTCCTCGGTCATGCAATTTGTCATGAGCGAGAAGTAAAAAATCTGAAAACAGGACCTCCGATCCGACCTTTTGGCTTTTCAACCGCTTAAAATTTTAGAAGTTTTGAACTTCAAACTCCGAACTCTAGCACGTGTTGCGCACTGGACACAGCAACAGTTCTGCCCCTCCGTCTTCCCATGTGTCATGATAGTTTAACCGGGTTGCCTATTTGTGTTTTGGCGGAGGAGATCGGGCCCCATACGGTTGAACAACTTGGGATGGGCCATCCTTCAAGATTGCACAGCTGAAGAAGGAAAAAGAAGAGATGGCCCTTATTTTGAAGAGCCAGGCTAATGAGCTGATTCGGCTATCTGGGATGGCTGGGACGATGAAAGCAGAGATCTCCCTCCAGGAAGAGAATGGCCGGCTGATGGACGAGGTGTCTGAAGCCAAGAAGACGGCCACCCCGGAGATCACTATGGAGTCCTTTAGGCTTCTATACCGGGAGCCTGAAGAAAAGAAAGACCGGATCGCCTCTCACCGGGTTCTGCTGAAAAGGGATCCCGACTTCAGTGCGGCCTCTTACGGCTTGGCCCCAATTCCGGAGGAGGAGCCTACTCCCCCCTTCCCCTTAGATTGATATTTCCCCAGCTGCGACCGGTTGTATTTGTTTGTAAAACTTCAAACTCAATTTCCCCGGGGACGCCAGGTGTTTTCGTAAACCCCTAACATTCTCATTTTGTTTGAATGCCATGCTCAATGTTCTTACCGGCTAATCTTGCTCTGCGTGCCTTTTGATTGATATTTTGCTTGCCTTTGTTTTCACTATCTTACTTGCACCGGCAGAACTCCAAAAAGTGTGACCGGCTGAACTTCATTTTGGCTTTTGGATACTTTCTTCGATAAAGCGCAGTTTGACCGGTATGTTCCCACTTCACGGTATGACCGGTCAACTACTTTGCCTCCTTTTTGCCATTTTACCCTTTCTTCTTTCAAGTGCAGTTTGACCGGTACCCACTTTACGGTTGAACCGGTCATCTGCTTCGACTTGTAGAACTTCCGAAGTTCTGTTGTATCAATACCCAACCGGGGTATTCCTTTTTCTTTTTTTTTTGACCGGTAGGTTGTAGATGGAAGCACCTGTAACCTAGTAATTCCTTGAAGTATCCTTAACCGGTAAGAATACTGGAGATTTTAACCATGTCGAATGGTTTCAAACCCTCTCCAAGGTCCAGATGCACCCTTCTTCCAGGGCCCCCTCTTCCGGGTGATTAAGTCTTTTAATGGCCCTTTGATTTCTACCATCCCGGGAAGGCCTTAGCTCACCCCCCGTTCAAGTCTTCCCTGAGAAGGGGGAAACAGGATGCGCCACGGTGGACGATCCCCTTCTATTTGTTTTAATGGGCATCTTTTAGTCCCCAATCAATTTGACGGTACCGGCTGATTCCCCGATACCGGTCAAACCTCATGGGCTAGTGTAAGTACGGTTCGAACCTACTTCCAGGTCCAGCCCTCTTGCAAGCATACCCTCTTCCGGGCCCCTCTTCCGGGTTTAATATTTTTTTATTTTATACTGAGCAAGACCGGTGTAGTAACCAACGTGCCAGGTCCGGGCTTGTGTCTTAGTTGGCTCATCCAAGTGGATTCGATCCACCCGGGGAGCCCTCCTATGATATGTTTGACCTATCATTTTTGCTGCTACCACGTAGAATGCTGAATGCCAACAATTCGATTGATAATAAAAGTAGGCCTCACCTTCTAGAGTTTCTAACCGGTAGGTCCCCGGGCAAATGATTGCTTTCACCCGGTAAGGTCCTTCCCAGTTCTTGGCCAGCTTTCCTCCATCTCCAAGTCTACTAGCCTCTCTTCTTCGCAGGACTTCATCGCCTACTTGGAAGTAACACGGCCCAACCTTGTTGTCGTGGTACTTCTTCACGACTTTCGCGGCCATTCTTCGTTCTTCGACCAAGTTGAGCTCGGCCATGTGGTCTTCTTCATTTTGTTGTGGCTAATAATTTGATTCCCGGGAAGTTGGGAATTCAGCTTCGATGGGTAGCCTGGCCTCACACCCGTGGGTTAGGGAGAACGGAGTTTCCCCATGAGCCCTCCTTGGTTTTACTCGAAACACCCATATAATATGTGGAAGCTCTTCCAGCCACCTGTTTCCTCCTCCTCCCAGACGCTTCTTCAAACCATCTATAATAGTTCTGTTGGCGTTTTCCACCTGGCCATTCCCTTGGGGGTATGCCACCGAAGAACGATTATGTTTAATTCCGAAGCCCTCCAAGTATTCAGTGAATCTTGGATTTCGGAATTGTGGGCCGTTGTCGGTGATTAGGTTCATGGGAGCTCCAAACCTCGTGATGATATTCTTCCAAATGAACTTCTTGCAATGTTGCACGGTAATGTTGGCCAACGCTTCGGCTTCGATCCACTTGGTGAAGTAATCGATGGCCACGATTACGAACTTCTTTCTTCCTTGGGCGATTGGGAATGCACCTATGATATCCACCCCGAATTTGGCAAACAGGATGACATTCGACACGAGGTGATAGTAGGTCGCCGGTCTACCGGGGTACTTGTAGAATACTTGGCATGTTTTGCATTTCTGAACGTACCTCTCACAGTCCTGGACGATTGTTGGCTAGTAATACCCCAATAAGATGATTTGCTGTGCGAGGGCCCGCGACATTTGATGCGCCGCGCATACACCTTCATGGACTTCGGCTATGACTCGCTCCGCCTCCCGGTTGGTTAGGCGCCTCAGGAGAGGCCCCCCAAACGCCCTCTTGCATAGCTTTCCATCAAGGACTTGGAACCGGGGTGCCCTGAGCTTCACTTTTCTTGCCCGGTCATCTTGTTCTGGCAAGCTCCCATCCATCAAATATTCCATTAGATCGTACATTCAATGGTCATCAGCTCCGATAAAGTTTGACCGGTCAGATTGGCCTTCTGTTATGGGGGCGACTTCCAATTCCTTGATGCTGGCATGGTCCGAGATTTCCACCCGGGCAAGTTTTAAAACATGCTTGGGAGCATACTGCGTCAACTTGGAAAGGAAATCTGCGTCCGCGTTCTCCGCCCGGGATATTTGGGCGATCTTGAATTCTTCGAAACCTTTCAACAGGGCAAGTACCAAGTCTTTGTACTGCGCCATTCGTCCTTATCTTGCTTCCATGTTACCGGTTACTTGCCCAACAATTAGACTGGAGTCAGATGTGATGCTGACCCGGTTGATTTTCAGGGCTTGGGCAAGTCTAAGCCCCCCATCTAGAGCTTCATATTCTGCTTCATTATTCGTTAGCTTAAAGTTGAAGACGATTGCGTGGTAGATCTTGAATCCTTCCGGGGTGGTAAAAACTATACCACCCCCGTACCCTTTAGGACCGGATGCCCCATCTACTGCCATCTCCCACCATTGCTCGGTGGGCTTGTTGACCGGTAGGTCTGGAGATAGACCGGTCATTTCTACCAGGAAATCTACAAGGGCCTGTCCCTTGATCGCTGACCTTGGCCGGTACTCAATATTGATCTGAGTTAACATCATGGCCCATTTCACCATCCCCCCGGAGGATGTTGAATTTCGCAGTACTGCACCTAGTGGTTGGTCAGTCAAGACTTCCACCGGGTGAGCTTGGAAGTAGGATGTTAACTTTTTTGCGGAGATAAAAAGCGCGTAGGCTGTTTTCTCCATCGTTGTGTATCTACTTTCAGCTCCGTTTAGTGTTTTGCTCACATAATAAATGCCGATGTGTTCCTTTTCAGCGGCCGGCTACTGCTCCCTCTACCGGTTATTCCTCCACCGGCCTGTATCCCGGTCATTTCCCTAGGTTGCTGGCCTAACCCATTGGTGGTTCTTCTCCTGGGCCTTTTGCAGGTAATCTTCGCCGAGTTCTCCACTGTCCATCATTTGCTGGATGACTCCCTTAACACTCTTGCATTCGGAAGTGTTATGGGAATCTGACCTTTGGTACGAACAATAGGTGCCCGACCACTATCGCCCTGTTTGACCGGTAGGGTTTTCCGGAGGAATGACCGGTGCTTTCCTTATCTCCTGGCACTCTTCTGTGTTGACCATGCGGACGACCGGGTCATAATGGTTCCTTGACCAGCTGGATCCTGGTGCTTCTTCCTTCTTGATTTGCACCGGTTTGGGCTTTAAGCCATGCTCTGCTTCTTTCTTCGCTCGGAGTTGGGTTTCAGCCTCAGCAAACTCCCATGCAGTGTGATAGGCCTCCTGATACGTGGCCGGGGGTTTCCGACAGAATTCCGTGTATAGTTCCCCGGCACGTAAGCCACTCAAGAGGAGAGATAAGATGGTTTTGTCATCCATCTCTTCCACCTTGTCTACCTCCTCCTTCCACCGGGTGAGGAATTGACTGAGGTTTTCAGATTCCCTCTGCCCGGCTGTACTAAGATAGGTGAATTTCTTCCTCTTAGTACAGTTCTCCTGGAACTTGGCCTTGAATTTTGAGGCCAAGTCACTGAATGAATCAATACTTCCTGGGCGAAGCTTGTTGAACCATTCAGTGGCTCGATTTCGCAAGGTCTGGAAGAAAAGGAGGCACTTTTCTTCGTCTGTAAAACCGTTCATGGTTGCACTCTGATTGAAGGAGTCCAGGTGAATTTCTGGATCATCCTTCCCGGTGAATCTTGGGGCGTCTATCTTGACCTATCGCGGGAAAGGTGTCAGATGGACCCTTGTGGTGAACGGGGACCCTGCGAGGGGCTTGTCCCGGTCATTCTTCTCCCCAACCTTCTTCTCCAGTCTTTCCAATTTTGCCTCCATCTGCTGGACGCGATCATTGGGGATGTTTAACCGGTTAGCCACCGGTACCCTGGGTTGGCTTTCTGCCTCCTCCTCCTGGCGAGAGGCCCTCGTCCTGGCTGGCTCCTGCCGGTTTGACCGGGAGCGTTGGGTGCGGGCAGGCTCGGCCTCCCTCACCTCACTTAACCGGGCAAACGCGCTGACATGGGCAACGCTTTGCCCCAGCCTCAGCTTGGCTGACTTCCTCTGGCCCTCTTCCCTATCCCCCAGCCTTTCGAAGGCGGAGTTTCGGGAAGTTGCAGGGCGTATGGTTTTTCCCTTCTTCTTCTTGTGGGTCCTTGGAATGTCCCACTCATCGTCTCCGCTTTCAACTGAGATGCAGTGACCATCCGGAGTGATTAGCGGATTCGTACCTTGCGGGGGACGCGACGGCCCTGCGGCGTTTAGCGCACCTGCCAAGTTAATGGGGGCCACAGCACTGACTAGCTGCGGCTGGAAAGGTGATGGCTGCGGAATCGGCGTCTGAAACGGAGTCACTGCCATTGGAGCTTGTAGGGGCATGGTTCCCGCGCCTGGAAGAGCGAACGTGAACATACCAGGGATGAAAGGCATCCCCCCATTTTGTTGGCACATAGCCATGACCTGGCCAAAGCCCTGGATGGCTTGTAGGTTGGCTGGGTCATTCATGAACTTGGTCATGCTTGGTGGGAACGTGACCCTTGGTCCAGCGGAAGGGACTGGGGCTGTGAATGGGCTGATCACGACGGGTGTTGGGACCGAGCTTAGTCCCAACGGCAAAATCGGAGTAGAAACGGCTGGCAGGGTAGCAGCTATGGGGATGCTGGTACCTTCAAAGGTGGCTTGCACCTGAGCAGAGGTAGCGTTCATTTGCTGGCTGGAAGATATTTTGAGTGGTGTTTTTGTGGGTGGGTTTGTATTTAGAAGAGAAGAAACCTTAACGGTCCCACGGGTGGTGCCAAAAATGAAGGTGTAAATTACTTGACCAGTCAAACTATACTAGACCGGGTCTAAAATAGTTGGCTTGATTCAGTAAAGTAAAGAAAGTAAAAACACTCAAAATGACCGGTAGGACTTTAGGTGGAACACCTGTAGCCCAAATGATATTAAAACAGGGAATGCACGGGTGCTTTTACAAGGGAGTTTAGAGAGAATGAATTCGGATCCCTACTTCTGAGAGTTTACAGCAGTATATATACTAGGTTTGGGGGGACAGGACCACGTGCGCCCACGTGGGGCATGCTGCTGGCGTGATGTGAGGTGACTGGCTTCGTCCTCGAGCTGCCCTGTCACCTTGTGAGATGGATTATTCCCCTTGTCAAGTAGTGCCTTGGATGGATTCTTCAAGCATCTCCAGCAATCCTCGACTGACATGGGTCACTACAGTCCAAACCCTTTTAGATTCTCTTCTGCCGACGCTTTCTAACCTCAGAAACTACACCGGGTAATTTCTGAGGGATGAGTTCATCGAAATTAGGGAATGAACAGAGCGACAAAGTAGTTTGACCGGTATACTTTTTCCCGAAGTACACCGGTCAAATTCGGACCGATCAAATACCCACTTGCTGACGATTAAAGTCTCCCTTTCCAGAATTTTCAAGATTGACCNGATTCTTCAAGCATCTCCAGCAATCCTCGACTGACATGGGTCACTACAGTCCAAACCCTTTTAGATTCTCTTCTGCCGACGCTTTCTAACCTCAGAAACTACACCGGGTAATTTCTGAGGGATGAGTTCATCGAAATTAGGGAATGAACAGAGCGACAAAGTAGTTTGACCGGTATACTTTTTCCCGAAGTACACCGGTCAAATTCGGACCGATCAAATACCCACTTGCTGACGATTAAAGTCTCCCTTTCCAGAATTTTCAAGATTGACCGGTCAACTATTTGGCCTTCTCCTTTGACCGGTCATGGGTGGAATACACCCATCAACAAGGATGAATGGAGCCATGTAGTAGTTTGACCGGTATACTTTTCTGAAGTATACCGGTCATCTTTTGACTGATTTGAGTGCCCTCTGCTGATGATTAAAGTCCCTCTCCTTAACTTTCAAGATTGACCGGTCAACTATTTAGTCTCTTCCTTTGACCGGTTATGGGTGGAATACACCCATCAAATGGTAATAGTTGGAGTGGTGCACAGTACATATTACACACTCCCTCCGTTCTTAAAAACACTTCCTCTTTCATTTTTTCCACTTCCAACAAAACACTTCCCCTTTCTATTAAAAAACCACTTTTACCCTTACTTTTTCATACCCTACCTATCACATCATATTTTTTCTCTAATAATCTATCCATCACATATTACTTTTACCCATCACATCAGGGGCAAAATTGGAAATCAACTATAATTTAACACTTCCTTATTTTTGTTGGATTTAGATAAGGAAAAACACTGCGAAGCAGTGTTTAAACGAAGAACTCGATAGAATAACGAATCGCGCACGAAACGCTTTCAGATCAAAGTTATTTCGGGGTATACGAAATACTTCAATCGGATAAGACATTAATCAAGAACAAGCAATCGAAAATCTGTCCCCAATCCATAATTGAGACATAATTCTTAACCGAATCATTGATGAGTGGAAAAATCTGACCCTCTGATTTGTTTTGGTCCTTGGTTCCTTGACCAGAACCATTCTTACTTGTATCCTTGTCCCGCTTATTCTTGATTAACGTCTTATCCGATTGAAGTATTTCGTATACCCCGAAATAACTTTGATCTGAAAGCGTTTCGTACGCGATTCGTTATTCTATCGAGTTCTTCATTTAAACACTGCTTCGCAGTGTTCTCCCTTATCTAAATCCAACAATATTTGCCCCCAAATCAAATGGGAAGGGTTTTTCCAAACGGAGGGAGTATTATAATGCATAATCGTTAGTTGTAATCAAAATGAAATTATGATGGATCTTATTCATATTCATATGCATCTTTGTAGTATACATAAACATCTTGTTTAGCTTCACCGTTATCTCTATCTTTTTCCTCATTTCATCTTTATATGTAAACCTACATCACACCCAACTTGGGCTATGAAAACAATTAAGAACCTTATGTAGTATCATTCTTCACATACAATTAATTTTTAATGAAATTGTATAACATTATCATGTGCCAATGCACCATAAATTTTTACGTGGCCACTTCGCACCCAAGAATGTGGTGTTAACATAATGATAATGCACTCGAAGGGAACAAGCTATTCCTAACATGATGCATATATGGTCATTGACATAACATACATTCATTAAAATAAAATTCATCTCCAAAAAAACCACATACTCTCGTGCACGGGAACAAAACAGAAAGCAGAACCTAAAAAGAAATCGAAACAAACCACACGTTCATATTTGTATGATTTTTTTAATAATAAGACTCTTTGTTTCTTTACATGTAGTTCAATTACAATTATATTTAAAATCATTTTAGAGTTTTTTTTTCATCAGTGCCTATGCGAGATTCGAACCCTCATCCATATATGATTGCATACTGCTCTACCATTTGAGCTAATAGTCAATTGATTGATTTTTGTAAAAATTGTGCAATATATGATCCCAAGGAATGTACATAAAAATCAATAAGTTAAAATCAATAAGTTATTCATATCCTAAAACACTACTTCACTTGAAATTCTCAAAAATAGTTTAAAAAATATGCATACACTAGTGTTAATCCTGTGCTTCCCATGGGCTCGTATATATTCTTAATTTTTGATATTCTATTAATAAAGTTTTTTTAGTTTAGTTATTCCATTAAATTATAATATGTGTTGCATAATTTTTTTAAAATATAATTTTATTTTTAATTTTAATGAAGATGTATTAATTTTTTTTGTTTTTTTGCTTGAATGGAATTATTTAACACAACCATTTGTGGCGTGACAAACGTTGTACAAAACACGTGTGACCTTATTCAATCTTTGAAACACATAAAACTTTATTTCTAAAAATAAAATAAATACAAATAATTTATTTTTCTTAAAAATTGTGTATGGAAAAATTAATGCAAACGTACAAAAAATTAATATGAGATATATATTTTAAATTAAGGTTTAGGTGTATTAAAATTTATAGGATAAAGTAAATGGTGAATTGTTTAAAAGTTTATCAATAGTTTTATTTTTAAAAAATATAAAATAACTTTTTTGCATTTGAAAGTACAGAGTATGCTAAAATTGTGATAATTTTTTTTTTTTTTGCATTTGAAAGTACGGAATATGGTAAAAAATATAAAATAACTTTTTTGCATTTGAAAGTACGGAGTATTTTACAATAGTGAAAATGTAAAAATAATTATTATTATTTTAGTGAAAAAGCAAAAGGTTAGAAGGTGAAAAGTTTATAAACTGTAATATAATATGTTTATTTAATATAAAATTTAATGCGCACGCGTGGCATAAAATGTAATGCCCCAAAATATACCCTAGAATTATTAATGAATAATTATTCGATTAATCAAATTTGTTTTGATTAAAATAAATTGTTATTGGGCTTTGGGCCGAAATAAAATGTGTTTTGATATCCAATATCACAATCAGGATAAATCTCATAGAGATAAATCCAATATGTTGACTATTTGTGTGGTCTTGATTGGGAACCTGAGTACAGATCCAAATTAAGCATAAATAAAAGATTGTTTTTTATGTGAACTTTGAAGTGATTTACTGAAATAAATCATGAGAACAAATGATATGAATTAGATGTGAGAACTTTTTGAATAAATGTCAATTAAATCAATTTTGACGCTGTCAAAGTCAACCACCCAAAAATATGATGTCAGAAAAAGTATTATAAATAAATATAAAAATTATATCGTTAAATGGATCTCGACTTTCTGATCGCAACAATGCAAACAGAATTCAATTCAGAGAAAGTTGGACCACAAAGTGTTGGAACAAAATTGGTCCTAATCAGGGGAGACGTGTACAAACGGCGCCTCCTCCTCCACTACAAAGATACGCCGATTGGAATTATATAGCAGGCTTGGAAGCTTTCCCCATCTCCTTCCTATATAAGACTACCAAAGCTTAACCATTTCTCCACAATTTCTCAAAATATATCTTCCTATTATGTTGCTCTAAGTGAGGAGAACGTAGTGGTGCTGTCAATTTGGTGAGAGGTCGCCGGAGTTGGGAGTATTCGTCCCTGGAAGTTTCGTCGGAAAATCTCCAAAATCTTCGTTAAGTTTCGAGGTAAGCCCGTAGATATATCTAGTGATTAGAATGTTCGTATAGATCGTTTCGACGTTCATAAACGATCGTTTTGTTGAGTTTTGTGTTTGACATCTTAGAAAAACCAAGAATCATAAATCTCGAAATTGTTGTTAAAACTACGAACTAATGATACCCAAATGATCTATGAAGATTGGAGAACATTTTTGTACAATTTGATTGATGTTTGGTGACTAAAAAATGAAATTTCCGAAAATGGACCCGAGGAAGAAGACGATGAGCCGTGTACGGTAACACACCACTGCCGGTACGGTAGCTAGGTACTATCCAAATGGTACCCACCTACCGCCGGAACGGTAGAATGCCACCGTCAACAATGAAGTCCTCTGGCAGTACCTGTCAAACGGCGGTACCTGTTAGAATTTTTGGCATTTTTAATAGGCATTAAATGGACCAACTTGGGTATATTTGTCAATAGGTCCACTAACGGTTTAACCGTTAATTAATGGACGTGTTTTCTCTTAAATGAGATAAATGTCTGACAAATATTACGCCAAAAATGGTAGAGGGTGAATGAGAAATTGATTCTCAGAGTTAACCCGTTAATAAAAGAATATGGTAAGGATTGCAATTTTTTGCAATTTTACTGAACCAATCTTCTTTTATTAATTTTACGTATTGTTTAAAATTAGTCCATTTTTACGGAGTTAACTGGCCATTAATCTCCAATTATTCAGGGACAAATTTTAAACAGAGCGTAGCGTAACGGACGTGTTAATGGCTAATTAATCACCATTAACATGGTATTAAGTGTGCCACAAATGTCATGGATTAATGGTGTAGGAGTTACATTTTTTAATTGGCTTGGTTATAAAATCAAAGGCTCTCTCCATTCTCTTGAGTGGTGGTTGTTTCATACGTGAGGAAGGAAAAAGAAAGGAAAAGTACTTCCTTGTTTTTTTTTAGAGAAAGCTCTTGATTTTCCGACCAAATTTTCCGGCCATCTCCCTTAAAGTTTTTGGTCGTCAACGTTCCTACGTTGTTCTTGTTTGTTGGTGTGTGATTGGTCCGTACAATCTCCACACACGATAGCGGTTTTATCCTGGGAGGAGAGTGCCCACGTTTTTCCGGTAAGATAGGCGGGCACTACTACCTTAAGGACAGCTCCGGCGACTCCACTGTCCTTCACGGTTACATTTTTTGTACGGATTACAACGGGCGGGGAAGAGGAACGGACCCGGAAAATAAAAATAAATAAAATTCTGAATTTATAACTTATTCAGAATATTACAAGATAAACAGAATTGAAAATAAATTTCAATATCTTCAAGCAGCCTTGTTGTACGAGGACATTATGCACTGGATAGCGAGGACATTACGCACTAGACAGCAAGGACATTATGTCCTAAGGCAGAATGCAGCGAGGTCTTTATGAAGTAAACCTGCAAAATAAAACACCGTGAAGGACAGTGGAGTCGCCGGAGCTGTCCTTAAGGTAGTAGTGCCCGCCTACCGTACCGGAAAAACGTGGGCACTCTCCTCCCAGAATAAAACCGCTATCGTGTGTGGAGATTGTACGGACCAACCACACACCAACGAACAAGAACAACATAGGAACGTTGACGACCAAAAACTTTAAGGGAGATGGCCGGAAAATTTGGCCGGAAAATCAAGAGCTTTCTCTAAAAAAACAAGGAAGTACTTTTCCTTTCTTTTTCCTTCCTCACGTATGAAACAACCACCACTCACGAGAATGGAGAGAGCCTTTGATTTTATAACCAAGCCAATTAAAAAATGTAACTCCTACACCATTAATCCATGGCATTTGTGGCACACTTAATACCATGTTAATGGTGATTAATTAGCCATTAACACGTCCGTTACGGTACGCTCCGTTTAAAATTTGTCCCTGAATAATTGGAGATTAATGGCCAGTTAACTCCTTAAAAATGGACTAATTTTAAACAATACGTAAAATTAATAAAAGAAGATTGGTTCAGTAAAATTGCAAAAAATTGCAATGCTTACCATATTCTTTTATTAACGGGTTAACTCTGAGAATCAATTTCTCATTCACCCTCTACCATTTTTGGCGTAATATTTGTCA